TACATCCTAAAGATGGTTTGGCCCTACCCTCACGCCCTATTCAAGCTATGATTCCGACCAACTCCAAACGTTTTATTCTCATAGGAAGTAAGTTTTTCAACATTGTCTGTGATGGCAAAAAGCTAGATGGCTTAAGAATAAGTGAAAAATGGGCATGGAAACAAGGTATCCATTACCCTAAGCAAAGACAGTTTCTTGGATTGTTGAGGCAATTAATGATTTTTACTGGAACAAAAGGGGGAACTCATGGGGGGGAAACTTCAAAGGTCGTCACCATCATCTCTTCATGGTTCTGATTTGGAAAAGGCAAGGCTGAGCACTAGTTCTCTCGGAAGAATGGGAGAACTCCACCAAAAGGATCTTTATCCCGGATGGATTTGAAGCAGGAGGTTAGTGGCGCCTCAGGAAATCAATCTTTGAGCTGGCGGAGGTTCCACTATGAATTCTTTCAAAAAACACATTGAAAAGCCAAGAACTGACCTTTCTTGTCTAAATATTGAGACTTTTGTCACGTCCTCGATTAATCTTTGTTGCTCAAAATGCAAAAGCAACTTTTTGGTCACACTTGCTGCAGCAGAGAAGAAATCTTTCGTGGCAGCATTACAGTCCGTTGACCCGGTTCCATCACGGGCAAAAAGGAACATACCCGAACTGAGAACAAAATTCAAACAACTCGACTTTCAAAATTCCACAGACATAGGGACAAAGGATATATCAATAGATGGAAATCGTCCATCATATGTCTACAAGAAACAAAGATGAGCGCTCTCAACCACAAACTTATTAAAAATCTGTGAAGCGTGAACGACAAAGGTCGGAACTCTCTGCTGGCCAAGGGAGTTGTTGGTGGCATTTTAATCATGTGGAGATAGGACAGAGTAACCTACCATCACGTCAGCCCTGATGAGGTCACTCTCTCTTGCCTTTTCTCTAATTTATCTAATGGAGATCCCTACTATTTCTCGGGTGTATATTGCAGAGGCAATACCAATGAACGCAACTTGTTGAATGTGGAACTTAAGCAAATCCAGAACTCTTGGGGGAGCAAAGGTATCATTGGTGGTGATTTTGGTATGGTATTGAGAAGGTCAGAAAGGTCAGTTAACAGCTGCTCGGATTCTAAACTTGTGGATTTTCATTCCCTTATCAACAATCTCGACCTTATGGATCTTCCACTAATTGGCGGAAGACAAACTTGGAGCAACCAATGGGATCAACTATCATTC